TATTACATCGAATGTGGAAAAACAAATCTCGAATATATATAGAGATTTTGAGCTATCATATATCATATATCATATATCATCTTCTTCGATTTACAATCCTCACTATTCCCTTTCTTCTTTTTCCTTTAGAATTTTTTAAATATTTTCTGGAAGACTTTATAAAATTTATACATTTCGTTTCGACTCAATATTTCCGAAACACACTCGATACATCTCTGGGAGAAATTTTCCTCCGATAAATAAATAAATTCCACTCTCCGCTCCGCGGAGAAATCCTTCGAGTGTGCACCGTTATTTTTCCACGGGTTGAACGAGAGGATCCGTGCTCGTTCCGGATCGATACCCGTTTGCCCCAGTTCGGCCACCCTTGCTTCTCGAAAAGTGAAAACAATCAGATGTCCACATGTCCCTGGCCACGTCGTTTCCCTTTCACTTCTTACCACCGGACCCGCGCCACCCTTAGCAAGAGCGCACCCTTTCCCTTTCGCTTTCCCTGTCCGGTTTTCCGCCACAATGAACCGACACCTACTAGAAAAGGGCCTGGACGCAATGTTTATTCGTTATTTTTTTTTTTTTAACGTGTTCCATCTTGAAATTGTCTAACAGTTGATTAATTACTTTTTCCTCCATACATGAAATTAAATTATTGTCAACAAATTTTAATAACAACAATATTCATTGTGTATGATGAAATATTAATATCACGTTTAATATTATTTTTCTCGATTTGTAATTAGAATTACTTATTAGAGGGAAAAGCAATGTTAGATCCATAAGCATAATTTTAAAGATAAATTGATCGAAGAATAAAAAGGAACATCGAATCCTTCTCACGAACGATGCACAACAATGCTATAAGATATCATCTTCTTCGATTCACAATCCTCACTTTCTATTCCCTTTCTTCTTTTTCCTTCGATGCATAGAATTATCAATTTTTTATAAATATTTTCTGGAAGACTTTATAAAATTTATACATTTCGACTCAACATTTCCAAAAACACGATACATCTCTACAGCTACAAGATTAATAGATGGAGATTGTAATTAAATGAATAAAACGAAAAGGAAAGGGGGAAGAGAGAAGTTTTTTTACAGAATTTTCTCCGTTCTTTTTCCAATCGATTTAGCAAAATTGATCCGGTCGCGCGTGAATTCGCGCGAGCGCGCTGCTCCTCCACACCCCGTTTTCCAACCCCCGTCCGAAGGGTCCGTCCACAACCACACCACCCTCTCCCCCGTTTTTCTTCTTCCTCGTTTTTTTTTCGCGCGTGCTTCCCCACGGTTTACCCGGAATAATGACCCAATAACACAGCTGACCGGGATTTACGTTCACAGCCCGTGAACTGGATCCGCAAGGCGAGCGTGTTAACGAGTTGCCGGGAACAATGGGATACACGGAGAGAAATCGGCCGCAAAAATTCCCGTTTGAATATTCCGCCGGGCTTGGAGTAATAGTAATAAATTTTTATGAATTGTATTTTGGGGGAGGATGCGAAATAAGGAGGATGGGATAGGTTGAAAGTAGCGGGTATAGTATCGATTTTGGAGCAATGATTATTCGATTTTGAGAATCGTGTTAACGATTCTTCGGTTGAAATAAATATTTCGTCCGTTGTGAATTTCTCGAAATTTTAACATTTGTTATACGATATTATTCATTTCCTTATTATAATAACAAATAATCGAATAATCTCATTCGCCACATTTTCGAATAAATATCTTCCGATGGGATATACATATCGATGTACATATATATGTATAACTACATAACACAATATGTAAATAAATAATCAAAATAAATACCTCTACTACGCTTGTTCGATTTCTCAGAACGAGAAACGAAAATAAATAAACGAAGCTAAGCGTATCGACAGGTAAATAGCTCTCGTTTACCAAACACGACAATCGTCGCGCACACCTCGATCCTTTCCAATTCCCTTGGACAAACGGAATATTTAACGTATAACATATCATCATCATCATCATTGTGCGCGCAATCTGCCCACGAGCCTGAGAGCGTCATCGTTCCTGAGACATTTTCCCGAGAAAACCTNGAGAGAGAGAGAGAGAGAGAGAGAGAGAGAGAGAGAGGGAGCGACGATGGTGAAAAATCGGATGGAACGCGGACACGATTGGGAAATGGGCGGCAAACATCATCGGTAAACGTGGTGACGCCATTGATCGAGCGGTGGTATTATGGTAATCTCGGCGTTGCAAAAGAGAACGGGCAACGTCGCTTCGAAGGGGACAGCACCCGATTTGTCCATGGGCGCCTTTTCACCCGCCGTCGGGAAATTCGATTTTTGCATAAACACGTGGGTTCCGCTGGCGCGTGGGCGGATCAGACCGACGTGGGCGATCGCAGCGCGATTACGGTGTTCGATGATGCGTCATCCTCCTCGACACGCTCGATCCCCTTTCGAACGCGGAATTCGGACCTACTACTGTTCCGGGAAACAAGTAGTGTTTTTGCGCTCTTCAGGAGGAGGAGAGTTTCGAGATAGATTTTTTCGATCATTTTTCTTGCCACGTTTTAGAGAAATGTGGAATCCCGAAGGGGAGAGTGTTTTGGACACTTTTGAAACTTTGGAATCGAGTTGGAACGAATTTTTGCTTTCTTTGACGGTTTCTAGAAAATTGGATGTTGCGCAAGAGGTAAAAAAAGGAGTTCTCTGTAGGTTTTTCAAATTGAAAATTTGATACTTCTTTTCTTGATGTTTCAAGAAGATATCGTGAAAACATATTTTCATCGCGATTCAATTCTAATTATTCATTTGGAATATTCGTTTTGAAGAAACAATAATCTTTCAGATATATCCTTCACATTTATTTACGTGTTCGTGAAAAATCATCAAAATTTCCCTAATCGAAGGGGATGTTATTTTTCACTCTCCCTTCGTCTTTCTTCTTCTGCAATAACAATCACGCTGAACAACTCGATAACGCGTTATCACCGCCCAAAGCGAGCCACAAATCAAACAACAAAGCTTTTGCCCGCCAAGTATTCTTAGCTTCTCGATAAAAAAAAAAAAAGAAAAAAGAAGAGAAATGTGGAGTTACGAGAGTGTCGTTGCAAATAAATCGCAACAACGAGACTCGTATTTTTTCGCTGTAACGCTGTTTTTTCACTTCTTCTTCTTCTTCTTCTTCTTCTTCTAAAGGGTGATAACAACTAACCCGTGTATCGCTTCTGCTCGAAAGAACGATACGAGGGAAAGAAAAAAAAAAAAAGAAGAAGAGCATTCTTCTGTATTTTCTTTCCTCGACAATTTTTTTTTTTCTTTTTTCTTTGCATCGAGTTCCATTTTAAGACTTTTTTTACGGAATGGAATGGAATGGAATGGAAGATTAATGGAGAACGACAACGTATCGATCCGCGCGATGATTGATGATGGCGAAATTAATTAGATTAAATGAAATCGAGGTACAAAGAGGGATTAAAGAGTGTAAAAAACAAGGGTGATAAAACGATACCATTTTTTCCAATAAAGATCCTTCGATACAACTTAATTCTCGATTGACAGTTACATCATGAATAATCTCTTCCTTATCGTTACACTAATTTCAATTTCGATTTTTATATAAGTATAAGTATATACGATGGAATCTTAAACATTATTTTCTCGCCAATTCCTCGATCCTTGACTCTTACGAACAAAAAATAAAGAAACCAAACGATTCAAAGATAAGGCCAACACGATCAAACTAATCCCCTCTCTTTCCTAACCCTTCATCTTCTCCAAAAATCCCCGAATCATTGAAAACAATCCTCTCTAGAAGAAGAAGAAGAAAAAGAAGAAGAAATCGAAGTGAACGATTTTAAAACGAAACGAAATAATTATCCCATCATTCGACACGATGCAACCACAAACGCACAAACACTTGTGAACACAATCGCGTGCGTGTAAGTCGGACGTTGAGTGATGATATCAAGTATATATACGACTGTGTGTCACGGGTCATCGGCCCTCGGATATTCTTGGCAATTCTCTCTCTCTCTCTCTCTTTGCCTGCCTCCCTCCCTCCCTTTCTCTAACTCTCCTTTTATTTTATTTTTCCCTCGGTCTTCGACGACCCCAGCAGCCCAAGAGAGGCGAGATCCTCGATATCTCGCATCTCTCTCCCTCCACACCGAGACTTCTTCCTCCTCCTCCTCGCCACCCTCTCTCGATCGCCTTCCAATAATTCGATCGAAGGGACATCCTGCCCTTCCGGACGCGGCTAACGAGAAAAATCATGGAGAGGGAGGAGGAGGAGGAGGAGAATCGATCCTTTCCTGTCGCTCTCTTTTCTCTCCAAGATTCTTCAATTGGAACGTTGTCAGGGGAGTGTAAATACGTTTCGAAGGGTAAGGAGAGAGAGAAAGAGAAAGAGAGAGAAGTGTTTTTATTTTGTGGATTATTTTCGAGTTAATTGAAATTAATTTCTTTCCAATTGTTTCATTTCATTCACTTTAATTACCCTCGTTCGAGGGTAAGGATTTTCTACTGTCGAGTTACTTTTTCACTCGTGAAAAATATTTTGGAAAGCGAATTTCTAAAGAATTTTATTCTCGAATGTATTTATTCGTTAAATTAAGGAATGGAATATGATGGGATATTTGGTAACATGGAGGGGTTGGAGATTAGTGAGTTTATACAGGATAGGGATTTTTAGGGATTTTTGTGAATGAACTTTAATTTTTTATCGCTTTTCAAGATTTTTAATGTTTTATTTCTTATGAAGTTGGTTAATGAGATACAGAATAGGATGGAACAGAATATGAAACTATGAAATTAAATGAAAATTGGTTTTGAGATGCTGTGAAGATTCTTACTCTGCCCGGTGATTTCTTTTTCCAAGTATTTTTAATTTTAAATAAGTTTAAATATATCGTAATTTTACAAAATGAAAAATATAAAAAATTGAAACTTTGCACCATCTCGAATATTAATTTTTCGAAAATTTCAAACTTCTTGTTACCAATCCAAAATGAAAAGGGTTGAAAATGGTATTACCTGTCCAAAATAAGCACAGGAGAACAACGAAGGAGGGTATGCTCGGGGGAAGAATGAATTCGATGTTACGCGTTTCTTACCTGTAACAAAAAAAGAGAAGAGAAGAGAAATTATAAAATGTAAAGAAAGAATTGTTGTTTGTGCGAGACAAAAAAATGGGTGTTTCAAGTTCAAAGTTAGTGGATTCTACGAAGCGAGGAATGCTGCAAATACGAATAAAACTCGATACGATAAAAGCTATAAATAGAACGAGAACGATATAAAGCTTATTCTAATCTTTTTTTTTTCTTTCTTTCTTTTTCTCGCTGATATTTTTCTTCTCCACCGAGATTCTTCCACTCCAAGATCCGATCGAAAATTTTTTCAAACAAAAATTCAAATTCATTCCAACGTTTTACTCCTATAATTAAAATCGAGATCGTGTCGATTAAATTTCGAATATTTATTTTAAATAATAAAATAACAAAAGCGTAAAGTACATAAATAACACAAATGTATATTCGAAAAGAAATAATAATTCTATAATTTGTTTAGAGAAATTTATGTTTGAAGAAAATACGTGAAATTATTGCCATTTATTCGTTTTTAATGGAATGGACAAGAAATTTTTGCAAATTCGCAATCCGTTTCCTGATGTAAGAAACGAAAGGCACGATGATAAAAGAGAGGAAAAGGGATGATAGCCGAGAACGTCGAAGATTCATCACGTGAAATAACCGAGAAAAACAGAAACGAGAGGCATTAGTTATTCCGGACAACGAGCGGCCATTAAAATCGCAACGCGTTCGAGTAGCTTCATCATCGTCATCGTGATAGATTATGGGCAAAGAATCACTGTGTTCGCCGTTGAAAACTAAAACCTGTCGTTTACACGCTTCGTTTCAGGTACGTGGAAAAATAGAGTATTAAAAAAAAAAAAAAAAAGAAAAAAAAATTAAAAATGTCGAATTTTTGTAGACATTGTGCATAAAATCATCTATCATTCATTAGAACGATTACAAAATAGGACGATAATATTATTCTTATTAATTTATGTATAATATATAGGGTCTATTCTATTTGGATGTTTAATTATAAATAAATAGGATAGAATAGAAAAAATAAAATTGATATTTAAGATAACAATAGTAGTAAATAAATATTGGTATAATTTTCTTTAGATAAGTGTATAAATATATTAAAGGGTATGAACAATCTGTGATGGTTGTCGCGTTTTCCGTAGTTTTATTCTACTAGCTTTCTATGTCGGTCGAAATATGCTTGACACTTGTTACTAGCTTTTCTTTTTCTATTAGAAATTCTTTTTTTTTCTTTTGCTATCATTAAAAGATCTTTGTTAAATATTTTATGGTACAGAATTTTACCATTTAAAATTTATTTGTATTTTTATAATTAAAATATTTAAAGTGTTTTGCTTCTAAAATTATAGGCAATAATTTATAATTTCATTGTTAAAATTACATGTAATTTTTTTGATCACTAAAAAAAAAAAGATAAATTTTGTTACAATTCCAATTTTGTGGTAGTTCTGATCATTTTCAAGCATTAAAACAGTTAAATTCGGATATCTATAGTTTCGAGCAAGAGTAAAAAAATTCTTATATATACAAAATTGTTTTTTTTTATTAAATTTTATATACAAATATTTATATTTTTATATAATATATATAACTTACATATCTTTTTATATTTTCAGATATCGTGTATGAGTTTTATATACATATATATATACACATAATAAAATTTTATCAAAATATTATATCAAGGCAATATTACACGTGACCTTATTCCTTGTTTCGATAGAATTAAAAAAGGATTTTAAAATGTTCAGTTGGAAAAAATAAGCGAAAAGAAGCATTCAAAAGTAAGTATAAATTAGGTAGTATAATTTAAATGGTAAAGAATGATATATTATAATGATATAATGATATAAGTTTTTTATATGTTGATTCGAGAAGGAATTATAAAAATTAATATCGATTTTTTAAATAGAATCATACGATTTTTTAATGCTGCATTAAATACATCTCACCATTCTCTATAGAAAGGTATTAAAGCCCATATAGCAAATAATTTCTAATTTAAAAGATATTTAAATTTAATTAAATATCTTTTAAACTAATGGTTTTTTGTTATGAATGGTTTAATATTTCCTTTCTTTTTTATAGAGAATATCGAGTTTATTAATGTGGTAAAAAATATAAAAAAACTAATATCATTATAACATATCATTCTTTACCTTTCAATATGATAATACATCCTATACTACATCCTATTCCTCATCCCATATTCCTTATCCTATATTCCTATCTCATCCTATATACTCTCAATCCTTTAGAATTAAGTAAACTGTTAAAAAATGAATAATTAGTTGAAAATATGGGTGACTTAAAAGGTAAGTATAATAAGGTAAGTATAAAAGGTAAGTATGAAAAAAATATTATAAATTACATATGCCACCTTTTTCATGATTATGTTATCCTGATAAAAATACTATAAAATTGGCAAAAACATCAGACTGAAATTCTATGAAAAATATGTGCAACCTCTTATTAAATTATATTTTCCTAATACAAAGTTAAATATTCGACCAAAAATTTTCGATTCGACAAAATTGGACTTTGTATCAGGAGAACATAAGCTGAAAGGAGGTCGTTCGAGAAAATATTCCGAGAATTTCGGCAGTTCTTGGAAATGACGTCAAATTCTGAGAATTTCTAAAATTCTTGGAAATGACGTCAAATTCTAAGAATTTCTAAAATTCTTGGAAATGACGTCAAATTCCCGGAAATTTTCAAATGATTGAAACGAAAGAGATTTTGGCCAAAAATTCGATTTTGTATTAGGAGAACATGATATGACAGGAGGTTGATCGAAAAATTTTTCCAAGAAATGACGTCAAATTCTGAGAATTTCTAAAATTCTTGGAAATGACGTCAAATTCCTAGAATTTCTGAATTTCTTGGAAATGACGTCCAATTCCTAGAATTTCTAAAATTCTTGGAAATGACGTCAAATTCCCGGAATTCTTCAAATGGTTGAA